CACAAATTACATGAAATGAAGTTTTTCACAAGATATTATTATAGTTGAAAATTTTTTGGTCAACATCGAAATTATTCAACGTAATATGCTCATATAAATGTTCATGAATCCCAATTATTCCTTAATAACTTTTTAACGATGCAGATCAAACAATTTTTGCTACTTTTATTTGTGTTTTTAAAGCAAGTAAAAATAAATTTATTAGTGCTTATTTATTTAAAGGATAAATTGAGACAATAAGGGGAAGGGGATTAGCAATTGGATGAAAAGGTTTAAGAAAGCTGTATTATTAGTTATTTGAGCTTACTAAATCTAGACATTTATCTAAACAAATTAATGCCTAGATTTTTTTCTGAAATACTCGGGTTTACCTGTTTTCTACTATTATTTGTTACATAATTCTTCATAATTCAGTTTTTTATGTGAGTCTTTTATGTAATATTTTATAAAAGTTTTTGTGTTTTCGATTGCTAATAATATTATAAAATAATGACCAAAAATTCCCAGTTAAATATTAATATTCTTAGCAGCTTTTTTTTTAAATTTAGTGGTAAGAGTTTTTGCAAATGCAATTGAAACTTTTAACGCTCTTTTAATTAGGATATTCTCACTGTATAGACAATACTTTGAGGATTCAACTAAGCTTCCTTCTTATTTTAATAATTTCTGAAAAAATATCTTAAGATTTGGCATAGAAAAAACATTAATAGATACATGTAAATTCATATTACATTGACTTACATAAAAAATAATATCTAAGTTCACCAAAGAAAAAACAGTTTTACTGCGTCAGTTAACAGAAATAACATTATAAGAAAGGGAAAAAAAGCGCTCGATTAGAAAGAACTAGATAATTTACCGAAACCAGGTGTTTTAGATGACTTGCGAACATCTAATTTACGTAAAAGAATAGTAATGATTTTTACACGGTGTTAACGTTGGAGATAATGCACTTTACCGATATTCTTTAATATCGTACTTTCAAATTAAAAATGAAACTTTTTATGCATAATTAAATGCATGTTTATGAATTATACACAGGAAAGAATAAATTAAGTTAAGATTTTTTTTTCTTCGGTAAGCTACTTGAATACTAGGACTTGGTCAGTGATGCGCAATAGAAATTTGGATTTAATGCTTTACATTTGGAGACATTTTTACAGCTGAATAATTTTTTCTATTGACATAAATATTTTTAAACTGATTTTTCCTAATGACTAAATTATCTTCTTTTTTTTAAAAAAAAATAGCTTCATTGTTAATAACTAACATAATGAAGTTTGTTTGAGTGTTAGTAATTAATACAAATTTAAAGAAAAATCACTATTTTGAATGAGACAGTAAGAGGATGTAGAGGATATAATTTGTGCTACAGATTTTCCACTTCTTTTAGCTTCAATCATATTATTTTTTAGTCAAAAACCTGGGAAAAAATCATGTACTTGATTTTGTTTGGAGATATATAATTAAATTATTAAGTTTGAGAGATTCCCAAAAAATTACCGATGATTTTAAACTAAAAAAATAGATTAAGCAAAAGAGGAACAAAATCTAAATGTTTGGTTTGCTGAGTTTTGCATTGAAAAGTAGTTAACTAATTTCCACCTTGCGCAAAATACATACTAAGTTCTTCCAGAGAAAGAGCCACTGACTGGAAAGACTAAGAAATATTGTTTTCTGTCGCATTCAAAGCGAAATGTTTTCTGGGGTGTCTGTAAATTTTGTCTTCTATTACTGATACATGACAACATTGGTTATTTTGAAGATATAATTCAATACTTGTTTTGATATTGCCATGCAATCTTTCAACTTTAAAATTTGCTTCCTGAAAGTTGAAAAAATTTAAAAAAATTAGAAGCTGGAATAATTGGAAAATTTTTAAAATTCGTTTCCTAATCAGAATGCACCAAACCATATTTTACTACCTCTTTCCTTTTCTCTTCTTTTTCTTTTTTATTTTTTTTTTAATGTTTCTTATTCAAATTCATCGGTCATATTTCATGATTCCTGGTACATAAAGGTGGTCGTGAGATCGAATATTTCTGATGGCACCCGGTTAAAAGGTGCCCTTTGCTATAAAACTAATATTTGGAAGTTTTAGCTCAAAAAAATAATATTTATGTCTTATCTCCGAGTATCAAAATTGGGAAAAAAATATTTTTCTCAAAAAATAGGACATTCTTCACTACAAAACCCGAGGGTGATTGTAAAAACACAAATCTTGACATATTTTGTAGAAATGCTTTCAGTTTAAAATTGTATCCGTAAAATGCCATTGACAACAAAACAAATCAAAATATAAAAGGTGTTTTCTCTACACCAATAGCAAAAATAAAATTTTTTGAGGAAAGAGTAATTTTTAATACAGTTGGAAACTATTGTCAGCGGATTAAAGTGAGAAACTAAATAAAGGTTTTTTATGACAAGATACGCATAATATGATAAATAAACAAAATATGATATGTACAGTAATGACTTTATTTTTAGGTAATTCAATCATGTTAAACAAAGAACAGTAAACTACGATATAAGTAGGAAATAAAGTATTCAGGGTAATAATACATAGAAACATTTAAAACAGAAAATACTACCTGTTGCTTACGTCTTTGCCCACTTGAAAATACTTTGATTTCCATTTTAACTACTTTCAAGATATGTTCGAGATTTTTTCAAAGTTCTCTGTGTATTAAATTGTAGTAATATTTGAAAATATGTCCATTAAACCACAATTATGAATTCGGGTCATTTAAGCAGGGGTAATAAAATCTTTTCTTCCTTAAATCCTTTTAAATTTCTTTTAAGTTGTGAAATATGATAGAATACGCATCGCGATACGATAGAATACAATAGAATACGCACTATTAATAGCAGGACTGCACAATAGACTGTATATGTTTTAAATTTCAATAACCGTTTCAGAAAGGATCAAAAATAAATCTATACAACAACTTCGTAACTAAGTTTTTACTTCAACAAAAACACAAAATTATACTACATAAATACTTTACGTATATTAAACTATCAAACACTACTTGAACTTCACTAACTAACAAAATAAATCCAAATAAATAATAAACGTTCAACAAATTATTTGACACTACCAAAATTATCACTTAAGAAAACCTAACAAAAAAAATACTTAATGTCTAACTAACTGAATGCATATATGCAACGACACACGTGGGAAAATCAGGACATTTGAGTATGCCATGATGCATCACCAATCAAATTCGACACACACATGTGACGTCACTTGCGGGTATTCAATTATATCTGATCTGAAAATTGATTCCATATGATAATAAACCATGTCTTAATAAATGTAAAGTTAACACGCCAAAAACAACCACTTGATTAGGTCTATCTTTGTGATTTCAATTGTTTTCTTTTTCTCGAGTCACAAACCTCAATTATTCAAATTAATGCTCAAGACAACATCTAAAAATGACAAAATCGGCGGTTTTTAGAATAACCTTTCAACTCCTATTTGACCCCCTTAGGGGCAGAATATCAAAGAACATTTTTTTAGTGGGTGCCTACGTTGAAGAAGAAATTCATTGTCTAAAATTTATGTTTCTAGCTTCAGTAGATTAGAATCGGTGATGACGAATCGGTCAATCAGGACATATCTTTTTATAAGTACAGATTACAAAGTCATAGAGTTTAATGTTATGAAAGTTTCTTACATCAAGCTTCAGTTCTATAACCAATTTAAATTTTTTTTTCTGACATTTGTTGATTTTAGGCGCTTTTACTTTAAAACAAGTTGAAAGTATACAGTTTATTTTTATGTTTTCAATAGCTCTCAAAACAAAAATGTGATGACAACATGCAAGGTCAAAGTTTTTTTTTTCGTGATTGCTCTATTAAAACACGTGGTCTTTTTCAACTCTTAGCGCGATGAAGAGATGTTCAAGTGTATAGTGTTTACCTTTTTTTTATTTTATCCTCTGCCCCTATTTTCTCCTCCAAAAATTTCAGTTTTGTACCTCCTTAAACAAAAATCAAGACTGGATTGAAAACTGTTTCGTTACCCCCCACTAATGAATCTTCGGTAGTTGATTTGAAATTATTACTTGACGGTTCCTCCACAACCGGTTAAGATTTTTAAAATAGGCGATGCAATAGAATTTTTTATGCATTTATCAAATTATTACATTTAACAACAGCACTTATCCAAGTAATTCACAAATCAGACATTATATAGAAAGTAAAATGCACCGGACATAAAGTATCTTATTTCAATAATACTGTCGTAAGTATAATTGTCGTAAATATAAGATATGAAGTCATCGGAATTGAAAATAATAAGTAAAGTACATTTTGTAACGGCCCAGACTATTCACGTCGTAAAACAAAGTAGAAAAAGGGACAAAAAGAAAAGGTTTTAACATTTTCCGCATGTAATAATAATGCAATGTCATTTTACCTGCTTCTTACAAGCATTAACATCGTGATTTGATAACGTTTATCAAACCGTTATAGTAAAAAAAAAATGTATGTCGAACACAGACCTCCAAAAAGTACAAAACATTCATTTTTAGAAGAAAAAAACTGTATTTATATGAAATATTACTTTTATTTAGCTTAAGAATAGTAGAAATTTTAGAATTGTGAAATAATTTTAACCATATAATCGAACTTTTTTTCCACGTTTGTGGAAAGGAAATTGGAGATAAAAAATTATGAGATTATAATTTAAAATTTGCTTTAAGTTTCATTGATCAGAACTGCGGGATAGATTTTTACCGTGTTCAGATCTTAATATGCAATAGTTATCTATGAAGAAATAATACCTTTACTTTTAGCATTGGTAAACTAAAAAATTTCACTTAATTTCTAATGGTTAATCTATATATAGCATGGTTGTTATGACAGGGTTAATATTATTTGCTATAATTGTTTTCTATAGAGAATATAATAGTTTTAAAGGATATTTTGTGAGAGAAAACATTTACCTGAAACTTAAATTTTATAATATACGTGAAAATGCTACTCACTTGAATTTTTCTTCCTCAAAATAAGTTCCTAAAATAGTATTAAAATGATTTAGTATTTTTCTAAGACAACATGTTTTATGGAAAAAATGTATTTGTATAAATATGCATTTTAAAAAGAATTCTTTTCATAAAATGATAAAATATTTATAAAAAGAGCTCCGGGATGTTTTCTCCTTATAGAAGGAAAATAACAATTACGTAAGTCAGCAAGAAATCTTCTCTTGGGTTATTTTAATCTTTATTTTACTATAATGAGATTACCGGATTCGAAAAAAGAAGCAGTTCTTTGTTTTCATTTTGTTTGGTCATACCTGTGCTGGGTAGATTTTTGTTTTTGTACAGCTTAAAGAAAAAATAAACACGTGGTTGTAACATGTTTTTAATAAAATAATTTTGGAATTTTTCTTGTTATAGGGAGCCTAGATTCAAATCTTGAAAACATGTTTCCTGAACATAATGTTTTGCATGTTCAATATATTTAAGTCTAATCTATTTTATTATGGAGGTTATGCAATTCCCATTTGGCTTTTCGTCGGATGGATTTGAATTTGCTTTCTTTGCTATCAATTTATATCACACGGAAAAAAATTCTGTTAAAATTACCTTACTCAATTACAATTCTGGTAAAGAAAAACTCATAAATCTGGTAATAAAATCAGAATATATGGTTCTTAAAAGCATCAGAATATATTGTTTGATTCATTTGGTAATTTTCCTTTTCCGGTAATGGTTTACCGGAAATTCTGGTATTTTAAATTAGAGTTCCTATTACCAAACATTTAAAAATGTAAAACTGAAAAGTAAACTTATCCGAATATGATTTTTAAGGCATGCTCTAATGTATCATGAAACAAAATTTTCAAATTTTACTAAATTTACTCAATTATTTAGACATTATAAAGCTATAATGTATTGTTAACTTTACCAAAGCTTTATCAAGACCCTTCGATTATTAGTACCGAGATTTTTAGTGATTATATAGAGTCAAAACATGGTAAATTTTACAATATTCTGGTAGATTCAACCAAAAAAAATTTCTCAGTACAGTTAAAATGGATTGATTTCATATGGCTTATATAATCTAAAATTTACATTTTCTACTACGCATTAAATTTTATATTCCATCCATGAAGAGTAGCGTAAAAAATAATAATCACGAAATAAGACTTAATAAATTAGAAATTCGGGCTCCTCAAAAATAATTGGTAAAATATAAAGCATTTAAACAGACATATTATCTTAAAATTCTCAACCAAAAATATAAATTAGCCACGTCATATTAAACTATTTCATATATGCCAGTATAATAGTTTCGCATTTTAAACCAGTAACATCTATATTGTTGGAATATTTGAAGTCCTCAAACAATAAATAAAAGGCTTTTTAATGATTGGCAACAACTCTATTCTACTCTAAATTTATTAAACTGAACTACATAAAAATGTTTGTATGTTTTAAATTAACAATTTCATTGCTGTCGGAATCCCTTAAAAATTTAAAGCAAAAAACTCATTTTGAATAAATGCATAACTTAACTCCAACTGCTTACCATAATGAAAGCTACTGCGAGTTACTAAATATATGTTTGATGGAAAAATATCTACATTTTTACATTTGAAAGATGAGGCATCTTCATGGTTAGAATTTATATAATATGTTTTTGAATTTGTATGCAGAAATTGCATTAGTACGGGCATAATTAGTCGAATATTTGACAACATAGAAGATAAAGAGAAATGATGCAAGGCAACGACTGAATAATAAATAATCAAAATTATATCAAATATTTAATTTTCAGTTAATATTTATTATTTTTCTCCTTTCATGACCATATATTCAAATTTATTCATTGCTAAAAATTAATTCATTATATTCAATTTCTTAAGAATTATATTCTGATATGGGAATCAACGCGGTTGTCTTGGTAAGGTTCGAGATTTTTTAAATCATGAATTAATTAAATATAAAAAGTTGTTTATTCTATATGTGATTTATATTTTTTAACTCGCGTAAAAAAATATTTTATGTTTTAGAAGTAATATTTATGTAGGTATTGAATCAATATAAAAATATTACACTATTATATTATAATTGAATCACTATACTACAGTTAAGTAAAGCAGTTTCACATTAGCAAATTGTTAGTCAAAGGGTTATGGAGGTTTAGGCTTCGTAATTTCATGATCAATGGTCTGATGTAGGTAATGTAGTCAGCGTTGTGCACTGACTACGTTAGCTTTTAAGGTAAACTGGTACTAATGGATCTTTAGCTGGATAGACTTTAAACAGCCACAGTAGATTAACCCCCAGTAATAATAAGAACTATATCGTTACTTAAGCATTAGTTACAGAAACCTATGCGATTATTTATCTCAGAGTAAAAAAAAATAACAACCAGTGGTCTTGTTCCTAATCTGAACAATTACGGATAATTTCATTTCACTAAAGTAATTAACATTTGTTTAGTAGTAACAAATCATTAAATTTCTAGAAAAAAAAAATTTCTCATTCGTTGCAAAATACTTACGTCTTTTAGGCGGAGGATCTTGCAATTTCATGACAATGACAATGATAAGAATCATTACAATGATTGCTACAACCACGCCCACTAAAACACCGACAGCGGGTGACAGAATGAATCCTGAAGTGTCATTCCTTCCGTTACTCTCGTCATCCTCTTCATCCGTTGATGGTGCAAGAACGCCCAGATCAGTGGTTACTTCTCCTGAAACAAGAGAGATAATTAACGATACGGTCTCAAAGAATTCCTCCAGAAAGACACTATTACACTTGCATCGCAGGAATAAGCATTCGTGTTAGAATCCAGATGTGATTCTCGAAAGTGGTTTGGTACCATGTTTAGTTTTAGAAAATTTGGAGAAGAATTTTTATATATAAATGATGAAATTCTGTAAAATTTCAAACGAAGACTGATTTGAAAATTAAATGATATATCGTCTAAGAAGTATTACATTCAAGTAATTTTTTAAACCCACGCATTCTATAAGTTCTGGTTCCTGAAAAACTAGACACCTGTTACTTCCTTTTTTATTAGTGTTTCAGTTTTGAATCTTTTTCTGCCTTTTGCGAATAATTAGAAGAAATTTCTGACATTTCTCCTCCCCCAATAGACGTCTAAATCCTGTTTATATACAATAGACCCTGCTAACATCACCCTTTCTTAGGCACCCTATGGAAAACGTAAAAGAGATAGGCCGAGACCTACTTGACAAATATACATGCATCCAGATCAGTGCAAAGCACAACTAAATGGCTCAGGACTGGAGTGCCTTGGAAAAGAGATTTGAGGCCTTATGTGCCAGCTGGTGCGAAGAGGATTGGTAGGTACAGACGTTTTATCGGTACTGGGGTTACAGAAGGACTCCGGGTGTCTTTCAGTTTGTTCTACAAATGATTTTATTTCTCTTGACAGCCAACCTCAGTGCATCATTTTTCCATCTCAGTAAAGGTGATTTTTACTTAGTAAGAAGTATATTAAGCTGGTAAATTTTACTAGTATTATGTATTATTTCTGCTTGTTTGATTTACATTTTTTTTTATCAAGAATATAATTAAAACTATTTTATAATATTTTTTTTCAAATTTTAACGAAAATGTCCCATTTATAGAAACAACAAATATATGTGCATATTTTATAAAACAAAAGGGTTTAATTTGAGTTTTCACTTACTGATTAATGCAAATTTCTTGTAAGTTGTGTTTCAAGAAATATATATTATTTGTAACTATTTGTTTAAATTTGCTTGAATTTAAAGCACATTTAAATTGCATTATGCAGCATAATATACCAAGTCAAAATACGATTTATTTTTACAGATGTAAGAAAAAGTAATTCCAAGAAATTGTCAAAGAATATATTATACTTCAAATTTTATCAGCTAATTTTATAGTTTCAAGAAAGGGAAAAACATAACCATAAAACATATTGATTCTCACTCAGTGTAAGAAAGAATTGTCTCGATAACTTTTTCCTTTTCGAAATCTAAAATTCACAAAGCGACTTTTGCAGTAAAAATAACGAGAAACAAAGAGTTATTTCTTAAAATGAACACATTCACTATTCATTTCTCAGTCATAAAGATATCTGGTTATTGCAGTTTAGAGAGACTCGTAAATTTCCCAAATATCATTTCACCCTCAGTAATATAATGATGATTGCATGTTATTCTTGCATAACATAGAGTAAAGACATTTTATTTTAAGTCATAAAGACTTGAATAAGCTCTTTGATGTGAACAAAAACTAAAAACCATTTCTTTATTTTCAAGTACTTTATATTATCGCGAAGATTTAGGACACCTATCGAAAAGCATAAAGCTATGTATTCATAAAATGTGTAAGACGAGTATTTTAGTTATTATAATGTTATGTTTATTTCGCGCTTTTGAAATCTTTCTTTAAAAAAGAACTGTAAGCAAATGATTAAATTTAAGAGTGTTACAAAAGAGTTTAAATCATTTTATAAAATAATATTGTATTGTATTTGGAATGCATTGTTTGTTATTTTAAATTTATTTTATGCAGATAACTAAATTGTTTAGCTTAAAAAAGTAGCACAGCTTTCATTTAACGAATTGTAATATTATAGCTTGAATAAATTTTTATACACTTCTTCTTAAGCACTGCAGCAAATTACCAGACAAGGCTGTCTCAGTCAGTAAGATCTATTCAATGCTATATTTCTCCATGTGTTAACATCCAAGTCCTTTAACCGCTTCTCTGATCTATCTAACCATACAGTTCCAGGTCTTCCTCTTCTCTTTTTTCCCTCTGGCGTTTGGAAGATTCTTTATGGTAGGATTTTCATCACTATAACAAAATACACCCCTAACCACCTTTTTTGAGAAACCTTGATCACTTTTACGATGCTTGTATTTTTAGTGTAATTCATATTTGTAACAAATTCTCCAGATTCCGTTTTCTCTTACTGCACCAAAAAATTTTCTTAGTATTTTGTTTCTTGAATGTGATCAGTTTCTCTCCGTCTGCTTTGTTTATTGCCCAGCATTCGTTGCCATGTACAAGAACTGAATTTAACGTAAATATAAATAATAAAATATATATATATATATATATATATATATATATAACAAATACGTGACAGCAAAAA